TCAGCAGTGTTGGGAAGAAGAGCTGAACGCTGCACCCCCATCTGCAGCGGTAGCAATAGGTGCATTCAGAAAATGTAGATCCTGAAGTTTAGGAGTCCTCGGGGAGGTTCGTCTAATGAATGATGATGCTGAAGTGCGTTAAAAGAACTGTGGCATCCAGAGCTTTGTGCATTATGTGTTAATTCTAAATATGTCTTTTCCATAAACTTAATGGAAGTGAAATCCTAAATCTGTAACTTCACGGATCGTGCTGACGTCCTGCTGTAATAAAGAATATATTTGTCTTCATGACTTGGCACACAATTGAATATTCAACAGTTTTCCCAGCAGTGCTGTGATGAACTGCACCACTCTGTGATTTCAGAAGTGGAACATTTAAATATTTCTGAAAACAATAACCTCTGCCTCTGCAGGGCAACGCACCATCGCTGGTTTCACCGCTTTCCACCAACACGAAGAGTCAGTGGCTGTTTGTGCAAATCACTGAGATTGCAAACTCTGAAAGGCTCTGAAAGTCTAGCACAGGACAAAATGTTTGTTGAAATGTACTGGCACCCCACAGTATATATTGCAAATAACCCCAAAGATTGAGAAAAAATGTTCTATTTACATGTAAATGGCTGTGAGGGCAATATACGAACCTGTAGCCTCCATTAGACTTTCAAAAGGCAGAAAACAATCAAGTGGGAATAACGTTCAAAGTTTTGACAAAAGGAATCATCACAGCTGTGCTGATTCCTGAAGGCTCTTCTGAAAACATAACTGTAATTGACCATAATCTCTTTCTTTTGCTTTATTTTGCCGTTTAGAGAACAGATGCTTCCTCTGAAACGAAACACAAGCTCTGAGTTGTGCTAAAATGCTGACAGTGAGTTGCAAATGCCAATGAGTCATGCATTTAAAGCACCCAATGAGTCAATTAAAGCCAGAAAGTAACAGACTTCTCCAGCAGAAATGTAGATTTTGCTTCCTCAAAAACCTCATTGTTCCCAGTGTGTTTCACCAGACAGAGCTGCTCCAAAGCCCCTACTTTACATTGCTGGACCACCTGTGGACCTCAGGGGCAGCGAGACTGCTGAGATCTCTGCTATAATGACTTGGCATCGACCAGACTCCAATCTTCCAAAACAATCAAGTAGGGACGGTGAGTACAGCCAAGCTGTGCAGGCCAAATGGACCTACAGGACGGAGTAACCAAGCGAGGAATCAATGGAACCATCAAGCAAAGAAGAAATCACCCTTATAAATGACGGGAACAGACGACAAGACGTTCTAATAAAACTGAAATGAGACATAACTCTGTCCATCATTCCTTCTGTGTGAGCCACCTCTTTAACCAGTCCTTCATCTCATACTTAGACCTTGGCGGGTTCCAAAGGGAACATATCCGATCCTGGAGTAACACAAACATCTCTAATTGTGATTCCAGATAAACTGCTTTACAGTTGGGCAGCTTCATCTACCAGGAGACAAGAAGGCGTTCACACGATACGTTGGTTTTCTTGGAGGAAACTGGCAAAACATTCGCTGAGAACCAAGAAATATTGGGACCACCTGCTCCTCCTGTGAATCCAAGTCAAACCCGGGATCCCTTATTGATTTCACTTCACCCAGCACGCTTGATTCACGGTAACAAAACGAGGATTACGCTAAAGGGCGAGCAAATCATCGCGAGCCCTGATATTACTGGTGGTCCTAATGATGTGAAGACTTGTGGATTTACGGCTGCGCCCGTATGCGCTCTGCAACAAATCACCTCTCTCTGTCAGGGTTTCCTTTCCACTCCTCTGGATCTTTGGGAAAATGTGAGCTGATGCTGGTGAAACATTCAGAGCCCTCAGAGTGATGGAAGTAAAAAGCCAACTTCACATCAGCCGTGAAGTCCCACTTAAGCAAAGTAATTACAGCTACTTCTCCTTACTTAGCGTGCTGTCATAAACTTCATGGAGAATTCTCAAATCTGGCAAACAAGCCGGACACTTTTGGTTCTGTATGAGTTTGTTGGCTGTTTTTTTTTCTTTACTAGTATCCACATGATACAATACTGAACATACAGACTGCCATGTCTCATCGCCTTTTACTTAGGGATCAGTTTCTCCTATATAATGGAAAGGTGGTGCTAATATGTAAAGTGTAGGGTTGAAATAAAAGAGAGGAGCCATGCAGTTCATGTTCACTTTGCATGGTTGGCCCCAGAGGACCGGCCTCCAAAGTGTGCTTGGGAACTTGTGCAAAAGAAGTAAAAGTAATTACAATCACGGTGCAATCAAGTTCAGGGAGTGCTGGTGGTGCGTGTTAAACATGGTTAACTGTTAGGAGCCCATGTGACGCTGTGCTATCAACAACGGGAACTATGTTATATGGGATTTTGTGTCACTAGGAGGCGTTCAAGATCAAATTGTGTGTCGGTCAGCAGCTCGGGATTACAAGCGTCATCACAGATGGGTCTGCAGCTACCACTGAGAAAAGAAACAGCGGGTTTACGGCGGTAAAGCCTGCTTGCTCGTCAACATTTACGTGTTCTGTACCATTAATTAGTCCTCCCCTGGGCAGAACTGGTGCCAACAACCTAAACCAGGGTCCTCGTGAGCTGCTGTCCTACAGGTTTTAGATGTTTCCAACACACCTGACTCACATGAATGGATCTCCAACCGCTTGTTGTCAAGTTCTACACAAGTCTGGTAATGATCCAGTACGGGAACGTCTAAAACCTGCAGGACAGTAGCTCACGAGGACCTAAACTGTGACACACTGGCATGTCAGTGCCCCAGTGTGCCGTAGACCCGGACACAGTACCATGATTATGCACTCCCCGACCCGGTCTACTCGCTAGGTTTGGCTCCTTGTGACTTCTTCCTCTTCCCCAAAAACAAACTTCAGTTGACGAGTCGCCGTTTTGACACAGTTTAGGAGATTCAGCACCTATCATAAATGATGCTTGACATGTTTACGTAACCTCCAGGGAATGTTTGGAGTGTTGCAGAAGCGCTGGGCTAACTGTACAACAACAAGACTACTGCTACGGGGACGGCGTCCAAAGTTAAATGAGGTGCAGTTTTTGTTTTCTATAACAGGCAAAGTCTTATTTGATCACAACTCAAATATAAACTAGAGCTGAATCACAGTGTTTGTTTTGTATTTTTACTAAGTTGACAAAAGAAAAGTGCTCACGAGCCACAAACCATCACATCTCTCCAAGTCTAACATCTTTAAAAAACATGGTAACTGTCACTAGTATCCTGGAAATAGTTAAATAGCATCCAGTAAAACCACAACATCCCTGATTAGGTTTTTTTTTTTGCATGCTACCTCTATGCATCCTGCGCTGCAAATCAGCAGAAATGTAAATTTAAAAAATCAACTGGCTGTCCACCATAAGTTAATAAAGACGTCACATTGGATAAAGTTGGTACCAAACCAACGAGATGCCTCACTGACACACATCCCCACTGATGGTACAAACACCAAAATATCAAATGACAAACCTTCCCAACAGACAGTTTTCTGTTGATCAGCTGGTATCCGTTTAAAGCAATTATATGATTTAACAACAGCTTAGATGTAAGCCAGCGACGTTCAGCATAACAGAAGTGATAAAAGTAGAAACAGAAAAAAAGTCGTGCCGAGACAGTTTGTGCAGCGATAAATTCAAATTTAATTACTGTGATTACGGTGACAACAGAGACGTTGTGCAGCCCTTCTGTCCTCGTCTCCTCCACTTCCTAAACTCATAAAAACACCGACTGACTGCTGAACTCCTTTTGGTCTCAACGCTAAACCTCATGATCGCTCCGTGGGACCAGCCTGCTGCCCCGGGAGTGATGGAGGCTAACAGGAGCTGCTGCATGTGAAGGAGACCGGGGCTGCATTTAGACTATTGTGACAAGCAGATTATTTCAATTACACAGCAGACACAGTGTGGGGCTTTGAGGCTAATTTTGGCTAAATACCTCCACAGGTAGCAGCTCCGCTTCCCCAGCCAGATTTGTTTTTTCGAACACATTGGTAGAGGAGGTGGTGGTGGGGGGGTGCAGTGAAGGGTTTTTCCCTGGTTCCACAAGCCTCTTATTTAACCAATGAATACTATCTATTTATATCCTCACAAAAATACAGTCACACTCACATTAAGCATCAGAGGCACTCTTTCTCCTTTCTGCCGAGAACACAGGACAGCTTTGTGTTGCCCCGAGGTTCTCCTCTGTTCCTGCCTGCATGTTGCCAAGGCCTTGTGCTCACAAGCTTAGACCAAGGATAAAGATGTGTACTTTCTCTCTTGTACTGGAATGAAAACCAGGCTGAGTTCGCTGGGAGAAAGGGAAACTGTACTGCGCCGCGCACGGCGTGGTGTTGAGTAAAATATCCACTTCCTCTAAATTCTTGCTCAGTAGGCCTCCGAGCAATCTGGAAAAAGCTCCTCCAGACGTAGCAGCCTCTTTAATTATGCAATAAAATACACAGGCGCTAGTTTTAAGATAACAGAACAGGTTCCGCCATATTTCTACAAGCCGTAACCGCCGTGTCAAACTTTCTCTCCTCAAAAATTCCAGCCAACTTTCCAGCCAAATAATTTATAGCACATCCAAGTGAGCGTTTTCCACATTATGCACACGATGCACATGCTAAACATGAAGCAGATTAGCAGAAAAGCTCCCACCCTCTGTATACTGAGGTAATCCTCCGAGCGTTCAAGCTGCAGCTAGCGCTCTCTCAAAGCTACAGGACATACTGGGCTGAATTAAGGGATGAGTTCTTCTTTTGTTGCATTGATCAGCCAATTAAGTTATACATTTAAGCCAGAGATGTCATGCAGGAGGGGGACTCTCCTCAGGTCTGCCGAGTTGTTTTGGACTGCAAAGACAGATTGCTGTGCTCTCACGCTGCTAACAGATTCAGGCTACGGGTAAAAGCAAAACAGCTCGAGGGTTCAAAATGACTGCCGAAAACAAACCACACGTGAAAAGGCCTCGGGTTTGTTTTGATATCACAGACACTTCATTTACCTTGAAGACGAACATCTCTCTCCTCAGTATGGCCAGGGTGTTGAAGCCTCCGTCGCAGATGTTGGGTTTAGAGTTGGGGTGGGACGGCCTGTCTCCCGGGGGCAGCCTTGGGGGTCGCGTCTGCCTGTCTGGCTTACGTGGGTCTGAAGGTGGATGGGAGCGAGGAGGCGGCGCCGTGGGCAAAGGTTTGGTCGGCTGGGGAATCTTATCGGGAGGCCCTGGAGGAAGTCAGAGGAATACGTCTCACTTGGTGTGAAGTTCACAGTGCAATTACTCACATTTATGATGTTAACGTGTTCATGTTTAGCTGGTCTGATGGTAAGGCATAATTTTACCATAACGTGTTAGCATGCTACTATTAGCCTACAGCTACAGCTAATATGAACGCAGGACAGTGATGACACTGGAAGTATAATTAACCCTATAAAGATAGAGGCAGGGAAGGTAGAGGGAATTATTTGGAATCTGTAAATATCTCTGAAATTGGAATAAATATGTGCTTGATGCCAACATTATATCTTAATTTATACACATATGTGGAAGTATGTCAAAAGCACTATTACAAAGCTCAGATTCCACTCTTTTCTGTGACATAATATTAACATATCTAGATATCTAGATTCTTTGGGAGCACTTCAACCATGTCGGGTTATAAGGTTTAAGGGATCACAGCAGTTATCAGAGTTTATCCTGAGCAGGTCATATGTGGGTGAAACTAATTTCATTACAGTCATCCACCTCGAAACCACAAAGAGGACCACCGGTCACCTGGGACACACGAAAACATGTTCCAATGCCCGTTTGTATTTGTTGATATATTTTACTAAAGTAAAAATCTAATCTGCTCGTGGCCCTCGGTGACAAGTCACCAAAGTCATCAGAATTCATCATCTGGGTTCAACATGCCAGCAGTGGTGTTGCTGAACGCATCTGAGGAATCCACATGTTATGAATCCCTTAACTGAAGTAAAAGCAAAGTATTTGGGCCAAAGCAGAACCCAAATGCCCACATTTGATGCATCCCAAAATGAGTTGTCCTGGGTAGGCAGAAGATAAACTACTTTTTAAATGCGATACTTTCAGATATTCGAGGATGTGAAAATGCATGTAAATCTAGTGTAAAACACTTTGCTCATCATTACTGCACCAATTAGAGCCAACCAGCAGCTTGTAGAAGAGCCAAACGCTCAAGCCAAGTTTGGCTTTTTCACCTGAAACAGAAACTGTCGGCAAAAGAAAAAAAAAAAAAGTGATGGATGGCAACAAGGAATCAAGAAAAAGGAGAAAAAGAATATATAAACCTGCAGAAATCAGTGGGTAAACTCAAACTGTGTCGCCAAAGAACAATATACACGAAATAAAATAAGAAAAAACTTTGCGGGATTAATTCTAAAAAATGTAGACACTGTGGGGATAAAAATAAGATTTGCTCCCAAATGGAGGCCCAGACATGCCTGGGTGTCATTTAACATTCATGAATTACATGAGAGGAAGAGTGCGACGGTAGCGGAGCGAAAACAGAGCGAGCAGAGAGGTGGAGGCGGGCCAAACGAGTGGGCCGCCTGGATGAATAATTGAGAACATGACGACGCATGAATAACACACTGTGTAACTGTGAGGATATGAGTTGCTATGTGTTGATTGGGGCCAACAGATACAGGAATAGACGGCCGCGAAAACCAGAGATGTAAACGCGACGGCCCTCCCCCTCCTCTCCCCAGTCATGGGAAGTATCAATGAGTAACGGTGGCGTATATAAATAATGACCTTGAAAGCTTCCAGCAGCTATGCATGAATGATGACTTGATTTAAACGTTAGTGAATGAAAGGAGGGATTAAAAACTGCTGAATGATCCACGGTGAGCAATCCAACAAACGAACAGGGGGAAGGATAAACCGACAAATTAGTTGACGAACCAGACGACGGCGGGATTAAGACATCGGCCAGTCCGCAAAACTGATCGGCGGAGTCGAGGCGAGAGTAAATTCCATTCACCGACTAAATGAAATCCCCTGAAACGCATCCCAGATTAGCGGCGCCGATGCACTGCGCCGTTATGTAAGCGTGGGGAGAGTCGCAGACATGTAAACAAACATGCTAATGTGTGTACACAGCAGCGGCGTCGTGCTAAACCCGCCACATGAAATATTAAACGGGGGCATTTTGCAGATTTCAGCGTGACAACTGAGCCGGAGATCTTCAGGTGGTCCCACATGCCAGAGCGGCGCTGTGAGGACTGCCTCGGCCAATCAGCTCATTTCGCTGATTGGTGCACTCGAAACCAGAGGACGGGAATCTAATCAGTGGACTCAGCTGGTGGGGCGGCCGACTGCGGTGAGAGTCCACCTTAATGGACCGTAGATGGAAACCAGTAGACGAGCAACAGAAGCATCTGAAGAACCTTTTAGAGTGTCCTTAAAAAACTACACCAACCATAAAATGACATTCATGTATTGCTGATTTGTTTTGCTAAACACACGTGGACGTAGCGCTATAGGTGTTCAACACCTAAAGACTCCCTCGATGACCTGGCCGTGATGTTGTCGGGGTAATTTGTTGTTGCACAGTCATCGAAAGCACTTCATCCACATGTTTTTTGTCCTTTTACCGTAAACCCGGACTATAAGCGGCAACTTTTTTCACACGCTTTGAACACAATGATGCGGCTAATTTATGGATTTTTAAAAGTTTTACGAATTTGCCTCGAGACCAAAGTGACATTGAGAGCGACAACAAAAGACGAAGTGATTCTGAGGATGTTCAATTCCTGAAGACACTGAAGAAGACGACTTTAGTGGTTCTAGTGCAGGAGGAAGATGAAGATAGCGATCAGTGACTTTTCCTGGTAGGCTGCTGGAATTTTATTTCCTTAACCAGCCGTGTTACAGGAACTGTTTGGGAAAAAAGCATCTACGGTACATATTTGTGTACGTAACTGGTATGTGTTTAATTAAAAGTTTAAAACATCTTTCTGTGTAAATATCTCCTGTTACAACGTGGACAAATGCGACCTGTATGTGTACAAAACTAGTTTTCTTTTTAAAGTCAGTGGGTGCGGTAGAGCTTTCTCTCAATATCAGGTTGAAATTTAGAACAATTACTGCTGTGTGATTTGAAAAAAGCTGATTTTGACTTTCCTCCTCAGTTGGCAGCAGCGTCAGTGAAGTCAGCGCTGTCCTACATCAGAGGCTTGTGTAAATAGGAAGTGGGCTGTTCTCTTCAAAAGGGTAGGAAGTCATTCTCTTCAAAGCTCAGCGAGGAAAACACAAAGAATTAAAGGGAGGAAGAAGTAGAGGCTATGTGAGAGCAGCTCCACTTCTATAAGCGTGTTAATGATGTGATTGTCTTTGAATCAGCCGATTTGTTTTGTACAATATTTTTTAGTGTATTCAACAAAATGTGATATCATGGGATGATGCATTTTGGGAAAACATTTAATGCTCGTATCAGCCTGTGGGACGAGTGGATGGTCAGAACAACACAACAGGTGCAGTTTTTCTGTTATTATGTTATATATTCCACAATATGGATGAACAAAGTCAGTTCTGGACAAAATTGTGATGAACAGAAACATGATTTTAGCTTCCGATTGGATGCAAAATTGAATTGATTTTCAACGGAGCTCAAATGTCACATATTAAGTTATAGAGGCTCAAAAATGAATCTGAATTAAACACGTACTCTGAGGGTCTGTCCAGGTAAAACACTTCATGTCTTTATTAAATACATCATTTACTACGAATCAGCTGATTGTGAGGAGGTCAGACGGGGACTTTTTTTCACCTTTGTTGGGTTTTATATGGAATGACTCCATCGTTACTCGCAAGCTGTTACACTTTTTATTATCTTTTAAGGCAATAAATATCTTTATGGGTTTGTAAAAGAAATAAAAATGATCTGAGGAATAAAGGCAGCCAGAAGGCTTCCCTACAGAACCATCACCTACAAAGCGAGGCAATAAATACAAACAGCGGAGCTACACGCCTAAAAACACGGTAACGGCGAATTGATCTGTCAAAACTTTTTCTTGTTATTGCACCTGACTGCAAATTCCTAAATCTAAAACCTCCTTCCTGTTTGGGCTTGTTGTACCCCCTCACCTATCGGCCTACTGAACCTCAACCCCGCCGCCGTGCAGTCCATCTAAATCGTGCCTCTCCTGTCTTTAGCTCCAACACCTAGCATCTCGCTGTTGCCATGAGGAAGAAAAGGAGGCCAATTGCTGCATGGGAAAAAAAAAAAAAAAAGGCCGAGGCTGAGCTGCCATCACTCGTCCTGCCCTTCAACTCTTGGTACAACAGAGAGGGGGAGGAGGGAGAGGAGTAAAACACAAGAGGGATGAGGAGAGATTTGATCGCTTGCCCAGGTCTGTCACTCCCAGAGGGACGTGCCCTGACCATGTAAGCAGATGGCAGGTTCTTTTGTGTGTCTGTTAGTGTGTTAGTGTGTGTGACGAGTCATCTCAGCGGAGTGCGACCGGTTTACAGCGTCGACAGCTGTGAGGGACAATACTGTCACTTACCACCCAGTCGTTTCCTAACTCAGATGTCAGACCGAGGCGGAGATGACAACATTTAAATATTAAGGGCAGCTCTTCCTCACCAGAGCGACCTCGCTGGACTAAAACATTAAACCCCGGTTGTGCCACCCCGATCTACGTATTCGACTCCAAACTCTGCTTACATAAATCCTTTACCATCAAATTGAATTCCACGCTTGCGGCCCAGGAGCCACATCAGCTTTATGAGTAGACAAAGCGCTCTGCAATCAGCGCCTGTCAGCTCGAGATGCGTGTCGGTGAGGAATGCGTGCTGCAGGTGCTCCGATGGTGACGTCTGAGATCTTAAATTTAGGTCATAATCCTACATCTCTGCTTTACGTGTTATCAGAGTGATTTGTTGCTCTAACTGGGCTAAAATAACACCGAAAACACACCGTTCCAGCTACGAGGAACCCGTTCATGACGGCTGACTGCAGGCGTAGCGGCGTTTAAAATGCAAAACACATGTGATTATTTTAACTACGCTGCTATCCAAAAATTGCAGCTTTTTTTCCTGTCGGTGCGTCGTCTGGGTTGCCTCATGTGCTCAGATAAGATACGTCGTTAACAAATGAGTGGAGGGTTCGTGGCGAGCTCAGATAGGTCTGGAACAGCAGCAGGGCACAGAGGAGCGACCGCTGTGGACACTCGTCAGAGATTAGAGCCGGACATGCATCGCTGTAGCAGATAGCGCTTTGTCCCACAAAACATACCAGAACAGTCACAGTAGCCCCAAAGAACAGGCCGAAGGTTTTCAGACACACAGCTGAAAGAAATTCTAAAGCAGACAAACATAATTTGAGTGAATTTGAGTTTGGCTAGTTTGCTGCTTTGAAGTGAATAAACCATCAGAAGGTTCTGGTATGTGCGATAAGATGCAGGACTGTGATAACCAGAGTAGAAGAATCTGGAAACAAAACCGTCGAAATTGTCGAAGACGAAGGAACAAAACTGTGTCAATCTACAAAGAAAAAAGAATTGTTTTCAGTTGTGAGAGTTGTAATTATTTTCTCACGTCAGCTGGTGTTCATCATATTTCACACTGATCACTCGTTACTTAAATATTCCAATCATGAGCATTAACTCATTTTTTAAAAAGTCAAACACCACCTCGACCAAGCTTTAAACGTTTTGGGCAAAACTGGGGAAGTGTTTTTTTTAAAAATTTGCTGTTTTCATAAACTTTTTCTAGTGCGATACTTCAACATAAATGTGCATAAAAACATATTGTGACAGTCGAGCTAGTCAGTGGTTAGCATCGTTGCCTCGCAGCTAGAAGGTCGCCGGTTCGTGTCCCGGTGAGGACACCCGGGATCTTTCTGCGTGGAGTCTCCATGTTCTCCCCGTGCAGCGTGGGTTCTCTCTGGGTTCTCCGGTTTCCTCCCACAGTCCAGAAACATGCTGAGGTTAATTGGTGATTGTAAATTGTCCGTAGGTGTGAATGTGAGTGTGCTTGGTTGTCTGTCTCTAAGTGTAGCCCTGTGATAGACTGGTTACCTGTCCAGGTGAACCTGCCTTCACCCTGAGTTAGCTGGGATAGACTCCGCCCCCCATGACCCTAGTGAGGATTAAGGTGTAGAGATGATGGATGGATGTAGAGCTAGTGGCTAGTCGGCACATGATGTCAGTAATAATATGAATTCATTTTAAAAGAACTATTCTAGTAAGTGGATTTGCTGAAGTAAATTCATGTAAACTTCTTGTGGCGACATCAGTTTAGTTTACTGACTTTTATGGGAGCTGTGGGTCAAAGCGGTCGAAGATATTGTAGCTAAAAAGCGTCGCTGTGTTGGACCGTGTGCTTCTCTGCTGCTCACTGTGGGCAGCAAACAATCAGCTGCTGGTACATGTCTGTGCTGGAACACTGTGTTGACTCATTGTCCTGTTAGCAGGCTGAGTAGCTTGGAGAGCTATTGTGACTGACAATGTTAGCATGTCGCTGGCTTGCTGGCATAATAGCTGTAGTTTGTCACAGTGACATCAGGCTTTCAGAACCAAAAAAAAAATCACAATAACTGGCAGAGAAATATCTCCGCCAACTGTCTGGTGTGTCGATATTCCTGGATGAAGCCTTACCATAAATCTTCTGGATGCCCAGCAGGTCGTCCATGGGCAGTTTGAAGTTGTCCGTGTCCATGTACTGGTAAAACGGAGCCATGATGGCCGTGGGGTCGTTGGAGTGTTCGAGGCCCAGCGCGTGGCCCAGCTCGTGGACCGCTACCAGGAACAAATCGTTACCTAGAAACACAAAGACGAGAGGGAGGGAAGCAGAGACGGCGGTTCTGTCAGTGCTGCTGGCAGTAAATTTGTTTGTAGCATTTTATGTCTCTCACAAGCGAGCGAAGATGAATAAAAATCTTGGTCAGCCTCGGGTTATTTTTTGTCACCTCGCGGCTTGTCAGTTTGCACCTGTTCTGGTTGGCAGCGCCGGAGCGCTTCCTTCAGAATAAAGCCAAGTTCTGCAAGTTTTGAACCGACTGATTTAAACAAACGGCCGCTTTAAGGGGCAAAGTTAGTTCAGGGTTCCTGTCGCACCGATATGCATCCAGACATGTACGGATAAGTGTGTGAGCGGAGATAATCCGCCCTTTGTGTACCTAATGAGTGGATTATGTAGCACTGATGCATGTTACACAGAAACACATGCACACATACAGACAAGGCTGCGCTCTGTAATTAGACTCGAGCCGCGGTAAGCCGATGACTACGCTGCGTTGACCTTTTGACTCAGAAACCCTCCGTGGCCGACAGCCAACCCCCAAACCAATCCCCAAACGTATTGGGTTGAGAAATTCTGGATTTTAAAGCCGCCACCGTCTGCGTCCCGTTTGAATTCCTCAACTTGCGTCACTGGCAAACCAAAACAACAACAGAAAAACCAACCTCCCGTCTGATGTTTCGCCAACGAAACGTCGAGCCCGACCCATAAAGAAGCTCATCACCATACGATTAGGGTCGGACCGCTCTGTCTTCTATTATTTATAACGCTACACAGGCTGTCTGTGGCGAGCTATTAACCTGATTCCAATGAGACGTCTCATGCTTCAATATGTTATTCTTGGACTTCAAAGGGGAGCCTTTCCCTCCCCATCATAAATAAAAAGTTGCGGTCTCTTTTGCATTAAAAACCCAGCGATGTAATGACACTTGATACTGGTGAATTGGACTTGTGCTGGCCAAAAGCAAGAAAACATTTTTTCTAGTTTCAAGGTTGCCCCCTTGATGCCTTCCCCGCTGCCATCTCTCATCAGTTCTACCTTTCTCTCTTTTTCTTATCACGCTGGGACTCGACAGGAATGGAAAAGAGCATCACTTATTCATTGGAATTCCTACTAAAGTGAGGCACTTATCTGCTGCAAATCTGTCACATGAATAACGCATCAGCAGATAGAGACGGTGATTCAGATCACTTCATAGCGAGTACAGTGCGATGCTTGAGAATTTACAGACCAGGCCACCACAGAGAAACGGCTTAATTGAGACCTCGTGAATGATATTTGCCTGAATAAATGTCAGGGAGTCTTTATGGGCCTGATGTAAAGTCCAGCGCCGCACAGGGCTGCGTTAATATCCAGGGTTTGGCCCAAAGAGCTTCATGTTTCAGCCAAAAGCCTCCCAGTGAAAGCAGACGCCTTGTTAAAGTTGGAGAAGTCCAGAAATTGAGGCAAAATTTATGCAAGCTTGTAACATCGAACAAGTGTCTGGAGACGTGGTTTATGGCAAATAAAGAGGAAAGACGGGCGATAAAGAGGACAGAGATACGGCTCGGCGACTCGGGGATCACTCGTGGAGGAAACGGAGTGACGCAGCTCCTCAGATGCCTCCTCGGGCTGCTTCCTGTGATACTCAGAGAGCTCCATTAAACTCCAGGCTCCAAAACAGCATTTCCAAATTAACTGCGCTGCAAACAGCTGGTGCAATTATTGTACACAAGTGTGATGATGATCTGTGATGTAGACTCTGTTCTCAAAATAGACGTTCTGTTGGCAATTTCTAAAAAGGAAAATCCTGATTGCCGTCATTTGTGACTTCTGGATTACATGGAGACTCGCTGACCTGAACATCTTGACATTCACCTCGATTTTTTTTGCTAAAAAGAAATTCTAAAAGCCTGGAAGCATTTTGGTAGTTCGGGTGAAAACAGCACATCGTAATGTTCCCCTATTTAGACAGAAGAAGGTCAGAAACTACCTTTTACAGCGTGTGCGCTCTTACAGCGCTCATCACAGAGCGAGGAACCATCGCTGCAGCAGTTCCGGTACATTACAAACGGGTTTGTGCTTCTCAAACATCGCACAGTATTAGTACACGTTTTGATCCAAAATGGGCCGATGCCATTCAGCTCACAGCAGCAGAAACTTGGGTGAGCGTTAAGGAGTTGATGCATTGGTTGAGAGGAACGGAGCTCCATAAAGCTCAATGGACCGTATCGGACATAATGTCTCATAAAACGCGCCTTTCATCACAATGAGCATATGGCGCATTAATGAGCGGCCATTCAGGAGCTTCCACTGTACTGAGGTGCAGTTTTAGTTTATATATATATCCATAGAAAATGCTCAGCACATCTTTCAGGAACATTAAAGACACAAACCTACATGTGCTTTCTAAAAGTTTGTGGTTTAATGGACCATAGTTGATCCTCAACCTGTACGTGTTTCCATCCAGGTTTTGGCAGCAAACTGCAGATTAGCTGCAGAATTATCCCATGAAAGCGTCAAACACAGTTTTACCGACACTCCTACTCGGAGATCAGTTCCCAACTTAAAAAAAACAAACTTTTATTTTCCATTTTCACCATCCATCCATCATCTCTACACCTTAGTCCTCACCAGGGTCATGGGGGGCTGGAGTCTATCCCAGCTGACTCAGGGTGAAGGCAGGTTCACCTGGACAGGTAACCAGTCTATCACAGGGCTACACTTAGAGACAGACAACCAAGCACACTCACATTCACACCTACGGACTATTTACAATCACCAATTAACCTCAGCATGTTTCTGGACTGTGGGAGGAAGCCAGAGAACCCGGAGAGAACCCACGCTGCACGGGGAGAACATGGAGACTCCACGCAGGAAGATCCCGGGTGTCCTCACCGGGACGCCAACCAGCGATCTTCTAGCTGCGAGGCAATGATGCTAACCACCGAGCCACCGTGCAGCCCCATTTTCCACCAAGTTTTAATGAAATTCAAGCTGGCAGTTTTTGCATAATCATGCTTACAGACGAACAAACAAATAAAAAAGCGATCCGTAGCATCCCTAATAAAAACAGCGTAAAAACACGCATGTAGAAATGGAAAAAAACCCATTTTATTACCACCAAATGCTCTAAAAAGCGGATGCAGCAAACATTTTTGTTACACAATTATCTCCAAGATTGGAAAAAGGTGTGAAATGTAGAATAGATCCGGCCTGATTATCTGCTTCTTTGTGTTCACTGTCTGATCAAACATAAATCAACAAGAGCCAGTAGTTATTCCAGTTAAACGCAGTTCATCGGAGCTGTTCTGATGCTAAAGATGCTCCAGTCACCTCAGCTGCACCAGCGAACTGAAGGACTGTCTCGATGCTTTTCCGTCTCTGTCTCGCTCCATCCCTCGGTCTTGAGTCAGCCTTTCTGCCTCCCGGGTCCATCCGAGGTCGGCGGCGTCACTTTGTTTTCGGTCGCTTATGTAAGTCACGTTGCTGCAGACGGGGATGTCCCCTCGGCCCCGGGGCCACAAACAGAGCCGAGGCGCTTTGTACCGCCTGCCTAATTATCAGCTGGAAGGTACGACACAGGAAACGGCAAAGTGTGGAAAGAGATGGGTACGAGGAAGACGGAGAGAGATGAAAGCCTCAAAGAGCAGTGAAAAGAAAAGGAGCGAGATGAAGGGGAGGAATAAAGAAGTTACGGGACGAACAAACAGATGAGTGGGAGACAAAGAGAACATAAACACAGAGATATAAAAGAAAGATGAGGCGAACCGAGGAGAAAGGACGTTGGGAGTGATACGTGAGGGAAAGTGGGAGAAAACCGGGTGATAAAGAGGAGAGGGGGAAGAACTGAGGCGAGGAAAACGATAAGGCTCCGGACTGTATGTTATCTTGTAAGATGTTCCATCACGGACGACAGAGATGATGAATTATACGGCTGTGACCTCTGACCTTGGCATTTATAGCATCGCCCGCCCGTCCAAATTATAAAACAGGAGGATACAGTTGGAGAAAACACAAATCCCTGCAGGCCTTGTGCTCCGACCCGCTGAGGACGAGAGCGTGTTGTCGGTGAAGCGATCATATGTTGATTCATCACGTGTGCCGTTTGGGCGAGAATTTGGCATGAAAGTAAGTCATCTCCAGCATCTATTTAGAGCATGAAAGCTGCATTTGAAGCAACCAAATTCCAACTTCTGTTAAATTATTTAGCTTTTTTTTTCTATGTTAAGTGGGCAATGATCACAGAGGCAGCCCGCGGCGGCAGCAGTCTTGCTCGGGATAGGTCAAGGTTGCCGCTAATGAGATAGTGTAGCTAAGAGAAATAAAAAAAAAAAAAAGATGGAGTGGAAGAGGGGAGTCACTGGAGATTTATGATCAGATGTACCTTCCTGTGTATCCCCCGGTAAAGCAAACAGGGGTTGTGATTAGAAACCAGTATACCTGCTCTCTCTCTCCATAATTTACCGGCTCGATGCCACGGCGGCCCGTCAGCTGCCGGGGGGAGGCAGGTCCACATGACATGACAACACCGGGTTTAAGATGTAAACACACACAGACGTAGGGTCCTGGTCGCTGCTGTTCAATTGCAGTAATAGCTCAGGATGTCAGCGGACGCCTCCCGGGGCCTGGAACCCTCTCTGACTCTTGGTTCTCCAGCTCCTGCATGTTCATCATCACCCTCTCCAGTCTTTTTTGGTCCAGAGCAGACACACCCCATGTTTTCAAACACACAGCATCCCCCCGTGACATTAACACCACATCAGCATCTTGAACCAGCGGAAGCACTCAAACAAAACAGCAACAACTGTCACTGCTCCTCCCGTGGCGGCGGCGAGGGCGTCCAGCAGAGACGAACAATTCAACTAAACTCCTTCTCTCCTTCTTCGCAAAACAGCTGCTGTTGTTTTTGCCGTCCAAGTGCGAGCGAGCACGAGCGCTCTCCTTGTCCCCCGAGGACCTCGAATGTTCCCCATTGTTCGGCGCCCACAGCTCCCCGAGCGGCTGACGCAGCGCTTTGGGGAACGGTGTCGGAAAAAA